GACAAGTTGAAGATTGAGACACTTTGCAACATATGGAATCTTCATTTTTAAGATTCCCATATGTTGCATAAGTGTCTCAATTCTTCAGCATATGGATAAACCATACCACGGGCGGGGATAGAACCAGCGTGTCATTACGGTTTCGTGAGGCATATGGTTACACAGGAGCACATCTGGACTTTTATCTACAGTCTATACGAAGGAAATGGGAATGGAATCGAATTCTGGTAGCATATAATGAACCCGAAAGACGGGGTTTAATAAATGGATGTCGTGTGTATGGGGGCAGTAAGAATTGCATGTAACTACTGAGGAAACACTGACCATTTTTGAAGGGTGAAAAGCTCAAGACACAAAGGAAATCTTTCAAGAGGTTCAGGAGGCTGTAACAAACAGGTTACAGTGAAGCTTCCAGGTCAGTCGATACTCAAACAAGTGACCAACAATCTTCTCTATTCCATTACAATGCTCACACAACACAACGCAGTACACAAATCCATACAAAATATTCACAACACAGTACTCACAGAATACACTACTGACACAATGAGAAATTTCAAAGTTTCAAGTTTAGGATTACCAGATCCATACAGATGTAGGGCGATATGATAGGTAACAGGGCGTCTTGTGAAAGCTATATGGTGCGTTTTAACTATACTCATGAGAGGTCTGGTTGGAATCACATCACTAGCCCCATCAGGGAATACTATAGCAAAATAGTTGTTAGGTAAGACACATATGCAACAGTTAGGTATCTTTATTTCGAAACGTTTCGCCTACACAGTAGGCTTCTTCAGTCGAGTACAGAAAAGTTGATAGAAGCAGAAGATACTTGAAGACGATGTAATCAGTCCATCACCCCGGTATTTTATACCTTTTTAATGTTCAGCAAAATAGTTGACAGAGGGAGAGAAAGAGAGATAGAGAGAGACAGAGAGAATCTAACGTTGAAAGCGAGAATAGAGGCAAGGTCATTAATGACAATTAGGAGGAAGGTAGTGCAAAGAAGACAGCTGTGAGGTACACAATAGTACAACTTCATCCTGGGCGAAGTTAGGGGAAATAGCTGATGTTTACCCTGACACGTAGGTGCCTCTTTAACAAGAAATCTCAACGGAATAGTAGCAGATTACCTCGGTGGTGTAAGGAATAGTAGCAGATTACCTCGGTGATGTAAGGAATAGTAGCAGATTACCTCGGTGGGTTTAAAGGGAAAAGTAGCAGATTACCTCGGTGGTGTAAGGAATAGTAGCAGATTACCTCGGTGGTGTAAGGAATAGTAGCAGATTACCTCGGTGGTGTAAGGAATAGTAGCAGATTACCTCGGTGGTGTAAGGAAAAAGTAGCAGATTACCTCGGTGGGTAATGAATAGTAGCAGATTACCTCGGTGGTGTAAGGAAAAGTAGCAGATTACCTCGGAGTGTAAGGAATAGTAGCAGATACCTCGGGGGTGTAAGGAATAGTAAAATTACCTCGGGGGTGCAGGAAAGTAGCAGATTACCTCGGTGGTGTAAGGAATAGTAGCAGATTAAACCCCGGTGGTGTAAGGAAAAGCAGATTACCTCGGAGGTGTAAGGAATAGTATCAGATTGCCTCGGTGGTGTAAGGAATAGTAGCAGATTACCTCGGTGGTGTAAGGAATAGTAGCAGATTACCTCGGTGGTGTAAGGAATAGTAGCAGATTACCTCGGAGGTGTAAGGAATAGTAGCAGTTACCTCGGGGGTGTAAGGAAATTTGCGATTACCTCGGTGGTGTAAGGAATAGTATCAGATTACCTCGGAGGTGTAAGAAATAGTATCAGATTACCTCGGAGGTGTAAGGAATAGTATCAGATTACCTCGGAGGTACATACATACCGATATTATGGATATAAAGACATACAGTGTCGTGAACTGTGTGTGTCTTAATCTACACAAAAGGCAGCTATTGATCTAATTAGGGAAAAAGAAAAATTCCAGATCATATGCAGCATTTTGTCTATAAGATAAATAACGAATGGATGACCAGGGCAACTGGGGTAAATTGCTGACTAGACAAGAGTAAGGAACTTGCAATTCTTTCCATTAATTGGTGTAATTTTTTTAGCAAAGGGACGGGAACATCTCTCTGGTGCGGGAGCCCCCTTTAAAGGGTGTCCCTCGACGAGGTAAAGGTGGTCTTGATCTGAGGAATTAGGCTTTTATCTCCTTCCTTGGATTAGATCTAATTACCCCTACACACCTCTCACTTCTATCCAATCGGCCTTTTGGGATTATCTCCCTCGTAAATTACATCTCCCAGGTTGTGTAGAAAAAGGGTCGTTGTCCATTACATTTCGTTGAGGACGTAGCTGGTGATGTGTGTACCGTGGGAATTGGATTATCTTGAAATGTGTTCGACTGCCCTTGGAGTCGCGGTAGGCGGCCTCATTCTTAGGTGACGGAGTATCCTGGAGGCTGCCCGTCAGTTCCCGGAGGTGGCGGTCAAAGTGGGTACCCACTCCTGGTGAGTTTCCTGTCGCCCATATCTCTTGTTTGGCCGAATTGGCTTGTTTGATATATGAAGTGCTATGCTGGAATGCTAGTTTACTGGCATGAAGGGAAGGGATGGGGGTAATTTTCTCGCAGATCAGCACTGCTGCAAGAGAACGAGTGTAACCCTTTGGGTACCGAAGATGTATGTCTCTCTTTTGTTTATCGTCAGGGCTTCCTCTCTTTTTCCCCCTTCCCCTCTTTTTCCCCTTTCCCTCTTTTTCCCTCTTCCCCTCTTTTTCCCTTCCCTCTTTTCCCCCTCCCCCACTTATTTTTTAAGGAAAATTTATCCAGGGTCATTTACTAGACTCGGTGAGGGGCTTCACGGCCAAGTTGTATGCATTTGTATCAATATCTTTAAAAAACGACACGTTGATAATTGAGACACTCTGCTTCATTTGGGAATCTTTTTTCTGGAAACGTTTCGCCAGCCAGTGACTTCTTCAGTCCAGCACAGAGAACGGTGGAAGATGAGAAGTTTAAGGTACACAGTCCCTCCGACCCTCCCAAATGCTGCACAAGTATCATAATTATCATGCTGTATGTAATTATCATGCTGTATGTAATTATCATTCTGTATGTAATTATCATGCTGTATATAATTATCATGCTGTACGTAATTATCATGGTTGTCATACCCACTGGGTCGATGTCCACCTCGTAATTCGTAGCTGTCTCACCTACAGTGCATTAAAGACTATCCAGAAATTTGATTACATCCCATCGTCTCATGTATACAACTTTGGTCATGTTGCATTTCTAGTACACATCCAGATAAACAAATAACCCGCACATAAAAGAGAGAAGCTTACGACGACGTTTCGGTCCGACTTGGACCATTGACAAAGTCACACCGTCGTAAGCTTCTCTCTTTTATGTGCGGGTTATTTGTGTATCGTTCCAGTCACGGTATTGTGCCTTTATTGTTAATTAACATACAGATATTCTTGTTGGGTCTCTGGATAAATTGATATTTGAGGTAACGGATAGACAGACTCAGCCACTCGGTCATGACCTAATTCCATCCATTTCTCGGACTGCGTAACGATCCTAGAAATGCACCTAACTTGTTCCATTTGTCAACAGGATTGTCTGTAATGTATCTCGTACCGTCTAAATACCTTGCACGCACTTCAGCAGTCTCCCGGCAACGATTGCCAAACCAAGGATGATACGGAGTTTTTTACAATGGATATTTAAAGGATCCCAATGGAAATAAATCACTCTGATTTTTTTTTCTGGGTTATCCAGGTTCTCTCACATATGTTGCTATGTATGATAAATTTAATGTAACTGTATTTGTGTATACCTGAATAATCTTATTGGCGAGGATATACTTATTTTTAAGATTAAAGAATATATTTAGGAAGGACATTCTTTTGTTCACTTAAATCAATTTCACAGACTAAAAGTTATCCTACCTCAATTCACTTCAAATTCAACCCCATGTCTAAAAAATATTACCGTCTCCCAGGATGCCACCCACAACATTCGACTGCCACCGGACCGCTAAGTGAACAGCGGCAGCAGGTGCAAGGAAATATGCCCATCGTTTCAAACCGTGCTGGAAATCGAACCACGGACACTCAGTATGTGCTAAGTGCGCTTCTAACAGAGCCACGAAATACCACAAGTCTCTTGATTTTTATCATCCTTCGGAGGCGGTAAGATTCAAGCGAAGGTCCGGCCAGTTTATTTTCTCCCAGAGCCAGAGTGCGCGAGACGATTCTTCACATCGGTCTATTGGAAACTTTAGTGTTATAAAAACAGCTTGTTATCAGATGAGCCAAGAAAGATTTTTAAAATCTTGTTTTGTTGATGTCACCAATAATTATGTTTACCAAAACCAAACCACGGACGGGGATAGAACCCGCGATCAGGGAGTCTCAAAACTCCAGACGGGTTCTATCCCCGTCCGTGGTATGGTTTGTTTGCAATCGTGTCATTACGATTTCGTGACTAATGTTTACAATTATTCCGAAGAAGTCTATATTATCCACAAGAATATTATTTGGGTCTGCTCGCTGCCACTGAGGTCTATATTGCACGCGCTAGAACAGTGATACCATGAATAATGCATAACCCGAAGAACATTATTCTAGTTACGAATGACATCAGTCAGCTGAGTGTTTGCTAAAACATAGGGCAATGTCACCTACAACCTGGTCTGTCTCACCGCATCCATCCCCTCAAGGAAGGTTCCTTGATGTTGGTGAGGGGCTCTTGATTTAGGGAATTGGATCTGTGCTCCAGTTCCCCAAATTAAGCCTGAATGCCTTCCACATCCCCCCCCAGGCGCTGTATAATCCTCCGGGTTTAGCGCTTCCCCCTTGATTGTAATAATAATAATAATCACCGCATCCATGAGCTGCTATACATTTCCTATTTCCATTTTCCTTCAACATTTAATCAAGCAAACATTCTCGTTACATCTGTTCACTCTGTCTTCACTTTGCTTCTCACCAATGTTATTCTTTCTTCGTCACAGCTGTGGAGACAACGACGTCTGTGAGTCCAAAGAGATTCATCCCAAGACAAGGGAGAGTCAGTTGGGAGTCGACCCTGAGGACCAGCAGCGACAAACGCCCCTCAGCTTTGGATCGTATTTTGGTAAGTTACAAGTCTTCATTTCTGACTTTTTCTCTTAAAGAACTAGAAGAATTTATTGGAATGGCCGAACAATTAAGCGATTTCGCAGTTAAGAACGGACAATATTCATTTAGATTATTGTTATTTATTATAATCATCATTGTAAGTGCTAAGCCCGTAATAATACAGAGCTGCGAGGATGTGTGATGGCAGGAATGCGCGAAGGGTAGAAGTATGGATGTGCAAAAGTAGGGGCTGGAGGTGGGGAATAGTGCAAGAGAAAAACAAATCATTACTTACTCTCCATTAAAACTCAAAGTCTGTGTCAAAGATGGGACTTTCAGCGAGGAGGTTAGTGTGATTGGGCAGAATAGATGGAAGTGAATCCTGCATGCCCGCTGATAGGACAATCTATTGATACGGTGGACTGATGGTGCTATCTGACAGTCCTCACAGATCTGTCCTGGTCGTTTCTCCATATGGTATCCTTGAGTGAGGCGCATGTGTCCTATAAGTAACAGAAAGCAGCCTCTCAAACCCGACAGTGGCGGGAAGATAGTTAGAATTCTAAACATGGTTTGACAGAAAACAATTTGTTGTGGTCCATCTCGGACCTGTGTTGTTGTCAGTGGTTTCAAGACTTGTTGAGAGAGCGCTGAAAAATAGCCCAAGAAATACCTATGTAGGGAATCGGGAGGTAATGAATAGGTGACCGAGCGACTGAGTCTGTGTTCATTGTCCTGAACACTGACGTGTCCACAAACTCGGCATAAAATGATTACTCTGTGTTTACGAGAAATGTTACATAACCAAAGTCATGTGTGAAGGACGATGGGATGAAGGAAGTCGAATTTCTGGACATCTGGTAACGTACTTTTGGATCCGAAGCTTTTAGGAATAACATGGTAGCCATCGTCACATTGTATACATGATAACAGTGAGAACTGCATGTAACTCCACAGTGAAAACTCTGACCGAATCCAGTAAATGAGTTGATTATTGTTTCTGGGAAAAAAATTATAAATTTTACACACCCAAAAATTTTCGAACCTCAGATCCGTATAGCGTGGAATGAGACGGACGTTTTCGAGAAAGAGGATTTTTTGTGTAGGAAAGTGATTTTTTTCACGTGGGGTCGGAAAGCATATATAATATCCCCCGGGTGGGGTTAGAACCCCCCATCAGAAGCATGAAATCCGACCGACTTTGATCGCGGGTTCTAGCCCCCCCTGTTGTTGGTTGTTTGCAGTTGGCAATCGTGTTTCGTGAAAAAAATGAATCGCCGGAACTTCCACAGAGTAGAAATGAGGAAAGGAAATGTGAAGGCAGGAAAATTTAATAGATGGGAAAGGGG